TAAATTCTTTAAAAAATTTGTTATAAGCTTATAATGAAGTTGATATCCAGATCCTAAAATTCGTTATATCAAGAGTTGTATAATTTCTTTAATTTTATTTCATTCATTATCAGTAAGTTCAAAATTTTGAAGGTCTTTATCAGAACTTGCTGATATATCAATTGCCTAAAAAATAATATTAAAATATAAATAAAATTAATAATAATCATGTAATTTTAATATATTCTAACCTCTCGCATTTCAAATGCTCTATTAAGCATATCATAAGTTAAATTCTATCTTGTTTTTACATCTAGAATAAGATTAAGATTTTTAAGACCAGCTGCTTCAGCATGATGTGTAAAACAATCTCAATGTTGTGATGATGACCGTATTTTAACTATAATTTTTCAAAGCTAATAAATAAATAAATAATTATTATAATAATTTTAATAATTAAATTAAATATTACCTTTGGAATTATTTCTCCAACATTTCTATTTACATCTATATCATTTAATACATCATCTTTAGTTTGTGCTTCTCCTGCTTTAATTTTATTTAAAATTTTTTGTACAGATATATTCATAATATGAGCAATACAATGGCAATAAGCATTGATAGCATTAAACATAATATTTTTTTTTTGACAAATATCTTCCATTTCTTTTATAAAAGTATCATTATTTTCAGCATTATCACTTGTAATTGCAAAAATTTATAATAATAAAATTTTTATTAATACTTATTTAAAAATAAAAAAAAGTATAAAAAATTATTTACCTTTGCTAAACTTCCAAATTTATTACAACTTTTTACAAAAACATCATACAGATTTTCACCAAAATAAGAACCACAAAGATTTATAAAGTCAAGTAAATTATCTTAAAGTTTCCAATCTTTAGAAATCTAATGTATTGTAATAGTTAAAAAAGCATAACCATTTATAGATGTTTATGCATCTAAAGCAAATGAAATCCTTTCAGGTATATACTATTAAAATATAATTTAAAGTAAATATTTTTTAAATAAATATACTTAAAAATAAATTTTAAACTCATTTGAAATAACATTTTCATTTTTATTTGTTCTATTTCAAAAATTACCATTATATCTTTTTTTTTGCTGTATCTGCTAAAGGTATTAATGCATTAGAATTTAAAAACTTTATCATTTATCGAAAATACTTATTTTCAAGCGTTATAAATGGTTGATCATTAGTAATTATCCATTTTGAAATAAATTTATGAAAATCTTCTTGTGTAAACTTAAAAATATTAATAAAATTAAGGTAAAAAAAATATATTTTTTTATAATCAAATACATACATTAATTAAAATCTCTTCTATTCTTACAAATTCATCTAATGTACTTTGTCCTTCATATATTAGGTGTTTTGATTTTTTTGGATTTTTATTTGAATGATAACATTTTAAATGACGTTAAAGATTTGTTATATTTGAATCTTTAATCTTTTAAAACCATGTTTTATGTCCTCTAAATCATTTTTAAAAGAAATAAGAAAAAATAAACAATAATATACTATATCCTACTCTATTAGAAATACATACAAGCAGTTAAGACATCTAACTTCTCTATGAGTTTTTGAATTTTTGTGTTCAGATGGAAGAATGTATTCTTCAAAAAGTTCTTTGGAAAAAAATTCATTTCGTAATACCTTTCATTTTCTAAGAGAAGTTGTATTATCAGAATTAGTAAGGTTAATAATTTCACTTATTATTTAATTCATACGTTATAGATTAAGTCACGTAATGTAAAACAAATTGTTGCATTATGTATCATTATATCATTTAAATCACATCACCTGATCATTTGAGTCACCTGGGTCAAGCAAAATCAAAACCCTAACCTGGCAGGTTTTAAGAAATTAGGACTTATAACATAAAATGATAGTCCTAACTCAAATTTTTCTCGAGTTGGGTTGAATAATCTGGGTTGATTCGACTGGCTCAGAGCACTAGTAATAAATTTTATACAAACATATTAAATATAATAATAACAATAGTATTTTTTGAAAGATATAATTATTCTCGCATTCATAGGCTGAATCTTAGAGGTTGTATGTGATAATAGAAAGTGAACATCAACATTTAAAAGATTCAAACCTTCTGGCTTATGACTTGTATAGTTATTAAGCAATAGTAAAACATGTTGACCTCTATACTTTGGCCAACCTGTCAATCAAAATTACAAAGCAAGTCTTGAAAGAGGGTTGTAAGCATCCATACTTTTTTGTTATTTTGGTATATCATAGGCAAGTTGCGAATGTCAATGTTTTTAAAATACCGGGATTTGCATACTTTTCAATTATTAAGAGAGGTAATTTATGCGATCTATCAGCATTTGAACATAAAGCTACAGAAAGGTATTCCTTAGTGTTTGATCTAGCTCTAGCCTGTAAAAAGTATTTAATAAGATATTAATAATTAATAATACAAATAATAGGAATATGTATCAATAAAAGAGTCCTGTTTTATTCATATTATAAATTCGCTAAGGTGGATAATTAGCAAATTTTTCATGCAATACTGGTAAGGCTTCAAGAATAATAGCTTGATTAGCAAATACTGCTTTTTCTTGAAGCTTATACTGGTGTATTCCATTATACTTTTTAAATCCTTGAAGCCAACCATTAGAAAACTGCAAACTGGAAATTTCTAAACCTTCTACTAATAACTTAGCTTTTTTAATTAAGATTGCATCACTTAAGATTGTTCGGTGCTGATAGTTTAATACAAACTTCTTAAATGCAAACTCAAGTTCTGGATAGGTAACAGGTTTGTATCATTTTTGTTTTAGATGAGTAATTTCGATAGAAAGCTGTTTTTCTTTAGTTTTTAAAATTCAAGTTATTGTAGTTTTATCAACTACAACTCCCCATTTTTTCTCAACCAAATTTACATAGTGAGCTCGATTCTCTTTATTACTATTAACATAAAGACAGAGTTCATACTTTTGAGTATCAGTTAAAGTTATTTTTTTTTAAGATACATATTTAATTAATGTAAAACTTGCAGCATTACTGTAGCTGCAACGCATTCTATTATATATAAAATATTTGCTATTTAAATAGGTTATACTTTAATTATATTAGATAATAACTCATTGATTAACTCATTGAATAATCTTAAAAGTAGTGCTCCTAACGGGTCAAGTCAGATCAGGTTTTGAAAATATATTTGACCTGATCTGAATGAAAAAGGAAAACCCATAAGTATTCAAATCACAAATTTTTCATAAACCGAAATGACTTAATCCAAATATAGTTAACCTGTATAAACCCGAGTCAAGACTCAAATTTTTTACCTAAAAAATTGATCTACAAGACAATGAAAATAATCACCAAGTAGGTCACACAAATTATTTTATATTATCATTACGACGCAAATTTAAAATTCAAAATTTATTAATTAACAAAAATTTATTTTATGCATGCATAGGACTTCAAGCACATGCATGTTCTAATTGTATCTGAATTAAAATTACATATTTTAGCAGCTACCAAAATTTTTCATTTTTTTTATTCCTCTTTAAAACTTTTCATTATATCGTTTTTGATTGTATCTGCTTTAGGAACTAGTGTATCTGAATTTAAAATCTTTATCGTATTTCAAAAATCCTTATTTTATACTGTTGTGAAGGTTTAATTATTAACAATTATCCATTTAATAAGAAACTTACGAAAGTCTGTTTGTGTAAACTTAAGAATAATAATAAAGTAAATAAAAAAATAATAACCGAGAAATCTAAATTTTTTTTTAATTTTATAACTTATAATTATTCAATTATACTTGCTTTAGAAGAAATCTCTATTTGACTTACAAATTTATCTAATATACTTTGATTTTCTGTCACTGATTTTGGATCTTTTTCTGGATGATAAACTTCTACATGATGTCAAAGATTAGTTGTATTAAAATCACCAATTTTATGAAGTCAGATTTTCTTTTTCCTAAAATTTTAAGAGTATTTAGTAAATACTTGGCAGATATTTCAACATGTCATGATAAATTTTTACTTACAGACAATTAAGATACTGAACTTTACGATAAGTTTTTGCATTTTCATGATCTTATGAAAGATTTCTTTCCTCAAAGTGATCTTTAGTAAAAGCTTATTATACAAAACCTTTCTTTTTCTAAGATATTGAATTAGTGGAGTTGTTGGTTCAATTAGGTCAACAAATATTAGTATAAGATTATTAGTAATAGATAAAAAGGTGGCTTAGTAATTTAATCTTAATAAAGAAAGGAAGATTTGGATAATCAAAATAAACTAACAATTATCAGGTTAATTCAGGTCAAAACCCGAGTTAAGAAGATGAATAACTTGACTCATTGGATCAGGTCATGCAGGTCACAGGCCATCAAAATTCATAATACTGACCTGACTTAAACGTCAGATCAGGTCAAATTAATCCAGGTCAACTCGTATCATTCGGAGCACTACTTAAAAGGAATTTACATGATATACGCTTTATTTTATTAGGAAATTTTATAAATTCAGTCAAAAAACTATAACAGATAATTCACAAAGTCACGTACATGTATTTATATAAAAATTTTTATCTAAACGGGTTTTGAAAATTATTGCACGGAATATGAAATAGAAGGTGTATTTAGCACTAATTCTCCAATTTGGGACTGAACTAAATAGTGCATTTAGAAAGGATATGCACTTATATGGGATGTATTTACAGAGAGTTGACTGTATAATGTCACTCAGACAATGATATAAAATATCATGCAGATATATAAGATAAATAATAATATGGTTTATTGATAAAAAAAAAGTAAGAAATAAAGAAATATAAAGAAAATAAAGTAAAGAAAAGAAAAGATATTTTCATGAAAATAAAAGAACATACAGCTATTCAGATGTTTCTAAGAGAATTATTGTACACAGCCGAGTTGAATTCTATTTTTCTACAAGTTCTAAAATCTACTGTATTTATATCTTTTCAAATTACATATAACAATAAATAAAATATATTAAATAAACAAGTTATATCTATTATGTTAATTATGTCAACAATGTCAATAATCATTAATGTCAACTATATCAACGAAGTTAAGAATATCACGTAATACATATAGATATTCTGCAAATCCCATTTGTAGATCGATTTTTGCAGATTACTTTGTAGATCTGCTTATAGTATAATAAAATTAGTATAATAATATTTTTTAAGATAAATTTAATAGCAAAATTTCAAGTTTTATAAATAAATTTAATAAAATTAATAGTTAAATTTTTAGTATCACCTTATTAACTTAAGATTTAAAATTAAAACAAATTTTGGTTGGATAGAAATTTTTATTATTATATAATATTTTTTTTGATCATTATTTATTTCAGATTAAATTACTTATCCTATAAAATGATTTTAATAGTGATTGCATTATTATATTTTTAAAAATTTTACTATTATAATTAAAATAAATTTTTTGTTTTTTCATAATAATAAACAATGAAACTGAAATTTTTTAATAATTATTATTCTTATTAAATATAATGAACTTGAAAAAGCTTATATTACTCATCAAACTAAATAAGAAAAAGATTCTAATAATTTAACCTTAAGTTTTTTTAATATAATAAAAAATAAAAAATATAACAATTTAAAAAATTAAATAGGTTAATATCAGTATTAGTTTAATAAAATATGTTTAAATATATAGGATTTTGAATTTAAAAAGCATTTTAAATTAACTAGATCTACATTTGAATGGTTATATTATAAAATAATTATACTTTTAAGAAAAGAAAATATAAGATTTGGTATAATTAGACTTACATGAGAACAAAAAATTAATGTAATTATAGTTTCTTACTACTAAGTATGTCTTAGATCATTAGATAATAGGAGAAATCAATCTTTATTATATGGGATAAGTGTTATAAAAAGTGATTAAATTAAAAATTTCAATTACTTAAATAATATTTATTGCATTTTATATTATTTATTCAATACCTTTTATTCTTTTAGTACTTAAATATATTTATATTTAATTAATATTAGATAATAAGCGAATTGCTAATAACATTTTTATCATTTTATTCAATAATGATAACTCCTTTTCCTTTTATTGTTAAAATAATAATACATAAAGATATATTATTTGACAAAGTAGCATTCAAAGTGATATCTAAAGTAATGACATCAATGATATCAATAGTAACAGTAATGACATCAATAATAATTAGTGATATCAAAAGTGATAGATGATTAAGGTAACAAAAACTTTACTAATATTTATTGCTGTTTATTAATATTATTTAATGTTGTTAACATGTGATTTTTGGTAGATTACTACTGTTAAATAAGATTTTTGAGTATTATTTCTTTTTAATATACATAATAATCTACTGATTTATTTTTAAGTTTTGGATTTATAGCTGGTATCACTCAGAAGTATTAAAGCTATATTTCATTAAAACTTATACAATACCCTATTAAAAGTATCTAGTCAACTAATAAAAATTATATTTTATTATTAAATTTATTAAATTATATTAAATTATAAATAATGCTTATTATTTAGTTGGCCATCTATTATTTTTAATGCATGCTTTAATTCGATGTGGCATGCTTTCAATTAAATTTATATAGTTTCAAATAGGATTTTTTTCCATTCTTCTTATAATGCTTCTTCAAGTTCATGAAGATTTTTTGGATATACAGTTTATTTTTGAAGCTTTCGTTCAAGTTTATGCCACAAATGTTCAATAGGATTATGATCCGGAGATTGAGAAGTTCTTCCTCCTTTCCAAAGACCAATAACTTATTCACATTCAAACTCACTCAATTCATGAGTTTTTCCCATTTTAAATAGTGCAGTAAACCAAAAAAAAATAAAGATCGATAACAATAAATTGAATGTTTTGTTTATTTTTATTGCCAAATCTGATGTATTTATTGTAATAAATATATTTATTTTAATCATCAGAACTATAGCATTCATTTAAAATAAAAATATATGCATATTATTATATTAGATCATAAGTAAATCAAAAAGAGCTTGACCAGATACTTAGATCACACAGATGTATAATGTTACTTAGACGAAGATGTAAAATTTATACAAATGTATAAGGTAAATAATAAAACAGTTAATTAATAAATAATAAGAGAAAGAAATAATAAATAATAAATAAGATAAAGAAAATAAGAAAAGAGAATTTCATAAAGACAAAAGAGCACACAGTTATTTAAAATATTTTGAGAGAATTATTGTACACAGCCGAGTTGAATTCTATCTTTCTACAAATTCTAAAACTACTATATTTATATTTTTTAATTACATATAATGACAAAAATATATTAAATAAACAAATTATACCTATTATACTAAAATATTATTAATGTTAATAATATCAACAATGTTAATTATATTAACAATGTTAAGAATATCATGTAATATATATAGATTAATTTATAGATTAATCCTGCAAATCATTTGTTAATTAATTTTGTAGATCATTTTGTAGATCTGTTTATATTATTCTATGTTTAAGATTTCTGTTCTAACAAAAATTTTATTACTTTACAAAGAAGGTTTTGAAATTATGAAGACTTGAATTTTCTAATCCATGTTAATGTCAAGGTTTGAGTGATCATAATTTGCTGAATACTAAAAGTTACAAATAAATAGTATATTTGAGTGATGTTTTAATAATAATAGGTAGTTATTATTTGACATTATAGAGTTCATTGAATAGGCAAAATATTATCATTAAGAAGTTGTCCTATAAAGAAGGTATTAATTAAAATTAAGATATGATTCTTCACACGTCAAACTTTTAAGAGCAAACAATAAGTTCTTTTGATTTTCTCATCTATAGTTATATTAGATGTATACAGTTAGGTTAGTTCAAAAGGTACTTCTAAAAGTGGTCTTTATAGTTCTTATAATATAAGGTTACTTATAGTTGTGAATTTCATTTTTGTTTAAGACTCAAATAAATCTAAGATATTTTTATTAGATTTGTAAAGGTAGATCATTAATGATAATCTGTAGTTTCCAATTGGTCTGTTCAAAATAAGATTTAAGTTGATCAGCATGTATTGGATTTTTCCTAACTCATCTGTCAATAGTTCTTAATTTGTATATATCCAATCATATAATATTATGAATGTAAAATAGTTTATCAAACTTATTCTTAAATTTATCATCATACTGTATATATGTGATTGTATAACATTAATAATAAAACTTTATCTCTAATTTAATAATCTATTCCCTTATATATTCAGTCATAATATTTCTTTTGCTTTTATTGTTTTTCATAATATTTTGTAATACATCTTATCACCTTTGTTGCAATTGTGTTAGTATTAACTAATGATATGAAAGCTTTGTAGTAGAAAAGGAGGAAACTCTAAAACTATTTTTTTTTAATTACTGTTAAATCTGGATTTATTTTATTAAAAAAATCATAATTAGCTTAGAAAGTAAATTTTTAATTTTTTTTAGAGTTTCCTCTCTTTTTACTGCAAAGTTCTCATATTATTCTATGGTTCTTGATAAATTCTGTATAGTAATAAGATGTTATATTTGTAAATCTATTAGCAACATCACATATTGTCTGTATAATAATTCAAAGGGTTTATATTTTGTAATGTTCTTTTGGGCTGTTCGGTATGCAAACAAAGTTGAGGTTAAGTAAGTATTCCATTTGACTTGGTGTTATGTTGCATATTTTACTAGAATTATACAAAATGTATGGTTGAATCATTCAATCAATCCATTCATCTGTGATTGGTAAGATGAGAAAAGTCTATGTTGAGTCCCTACTATATGTAAAAGTGCAGCTATTAATTTATTTAGAAAGAAGATTATTCAGTCAGTTAATATTTCTTTTGGTATTCTATGTTGACAAATAATATTCTGATAAATAAATTAAGCTGTTATTTTAGCAGTACAATCAGAAATAGCAGTTGCTTTAACCCATTTATTTAAGTACTCAGTTACAACAATAATGTAATGATTTTTTTTA